GCATTCATCGTTTGAATTCCCCTTGGTATGAAGTGAAGAGGACCGAACTCAGGTGAGTCACCTCGAAGACGGCGACTTGCCCTCTGGTGTACAGGAGTCACTTCCACGGGGTTGATACGCTGGTCGTCGGGGCTACGCTGTCTTGGGCTCGTGGGGCTTCGATTCATAACCCAGCAACTCCACCAGAAATGTAGCGATGCTGACGCCGACAGGTTAAAAAAACAAGCGTCTTTATTAGGGCGAACTTGTGCCCACGATTCTAAAAACTATGGTCGTCAAGTTCGAGTAGCCGAGTGGCACAGATCCGACTATCTTCCTCTTCCTCGTTGTTGAACGTCCGAACGCGTGGCGCATGCCAGCCGAGCCGGGTCTTGCTGGTGCTGGTGACGATGATTGTGGCGGGCTACTTGAATGTGGCGAACCTGTCGCAGCAATATATATTATATATATATATATATATATATATATATATATATATATATATATATATATATATATATATATATATATATATATATATATATATATATATATATATATATATATATATATATATATATATATAATGAACTCCACAAAAAAAGTAAAAGAAGCAAAAACAATGCAGCCCAGCCAGCATGAATTTAAGCCTTTCATTTAAAGCAATTTCCCGACAGCATCTTGGATGGCGCCTTAACCAATCAGTCTAACGACAATGCACTTCTGTCAGTATACAGTCAGGCTTGCAGGGAACTGGCTTTAGTCATGTACTTATGCAAAATCAATAGCTGCCTAAATAAAAAAATCCAAATACTTGTGCTCCCCCGTTGCCACTACGAAACCTGCAAAACCTTCGCGCAGCTTCAAATCCTCGGATTAACACACCACGGAGCTACAGGATTCATGTGCTGCCAGATTTAGCCACCTTCGTCGAATGCTTGGTTGACTCACTAGGCGTGGCCCCCTACGGCTTCCGTTCTCTGCCTGCCTGAACTTGCCGTAATTCCCGAAGTTGACCCGCACCCCAAACGAAATAACTGGGAGTGACCAAACTTGTAATATCGCTGAGCGAGTGGCGAGAAGGAGCCGAGGCAAGCGCTACGAACTCGTCAACCACTTCCCGCGTTTTGCACGATTTAAAATTCACAAAAGATGAAATAAAAACAACGTATAAAGAAAAGGAAAGTTATTCACAGTGGTATCGAATTTGTCCATTTTTGATTGTGAAAGCCAGAAAATTCAAACAAGCAAACTAACATTACTCCGTTCAATTAGATATTAAGATGCCCGGAAACCACGGTGAGCGTGCATGTTCCTTGAAACCGAAACTAGCCTTGAGTTTCGGGGGCCCGATGTAGTGCGATGAATGAGTATATATCCCATTTTCCTAATTATAAATAGTCTTTGCTCAAAGTGTTCATTTATGGTCTACCCTCACCGTGAAAGCACGCTTGCTGAAATATGTATTGTGAAAAATTATCAGTGCTACTTGGCACTGTAATCAGACACATACAATGAAGCACGAGACAAGGACTGTTCGTCACATACACGTGAAAATAAAATTTACCTTGTTTATTGTACAAGGCCAAAGAATATTAGAAGTAACAACAGAATGTTGTGCCTCACATGAAGGGGCGCGCAATTTCAAAAAAAAAAAGGCAACTTGTGGCAGAGTATGCTAAATGCGCGTGCAGCCCAGAGCAGCAACGTTATTTAAGACGAAGTGGTGCGGTGTCCAGAAGGGCTATTCCTGTATGCTATGTAGTACCTTACCGGTAACCCAAATGTGAATACTACACTTTCGCTCCGCTCAGGCTGATTTCGTTGTCATTACATGTATTTGAGATTTGGAACTGGGAGACCCAGCTTTTTGTTCCTTGGGTGTGCAAAGTACTTTGAAGAAATAACATGCGTACCTATAATATTAGCGTTTGATGAATGCGTAGTACAAAAATATTTGTATAAATAGATAAAATAAAAATAAATAAGTAAATAAATCGATTAACAGCAGATAATATTACATACAGCAGAGCTTGCCGTATTTTATTCTGAAACTGCAAATTGAGTTTTTTAAGCCCTCTCTTTCAAGATGTCCATAAGCATATAGCGGTCCCTTCAGGCTGCAAAATCAGCTGGTGTCACTTCCTGTTGACTATAGCGCGCTTGCTTAATGGGTGAAAACGCAGCGATAACGCACCCGAAAGTGACAATGACGTTTGTCACAAATTGTTCATCCTCGTGTGACGAAACATCTCCCGTAGCTGGTATTTCGGCCGGGTGCCGGTTTGAAACGGGAATATATATCGCCACAACTACAGAGAAGGAGCCCGGCTGAATGCAGGTATCGCGGCTTGTAGGATTGGGAAAGGGTTGACCGTGAAAAAGAGAAGCGGATCAAGAGGGCTCAAGGAAAACGCGAATGCAAAGGAAAAATAATAAATAACTGAGAATCAAGAGCAAAAACAAGGCAGGACCGGGAAGACCGCCTCGACTGCCTTGCAACGGAGGTGGGCGAGTCGGAATGCCCGATGTTAGGAGGATGAGGACGTTACGCCATGCCAGCAAGCGGGTGAGAATGTGAGAGAGTGTGGAAGAGAGTGGGGAAAAGAGGGCTGAATGAAAACCGAGCCGGGTGAAATAGAAGATCAGTGACGTCTACAGAGACCCGCACCGGAACACTCCGACGAACTAAGAGCAAGTCGTCCCTCCCGCATAATGCTCAGGTGAAACGTGCGGCGCGCTGTACCACTGAAGCGCATCTAAAGGGACCCACCAATCGCCAGAACGTGCAGTTAGATACTAGGGTAAATAAAATGACCACGGATTATACTGCCAGATTTAGCCAATGTTTCAGCGATTTGAGTAAGGCTATATTTTTTGTATCACTTTGAAAGTAGGTCACACAGACTATAATAAGTAGAGCCTTGAAGCTGGACTACGAAGTCGTTTGACATATCTAATGCACACTGACGCTGCTTTGCGCACCCTAATTAGCGCTGTATATAGATCAGAGTATCTATGGTATTAATTATTATCCATCCCCGCCACATTCTGTGCTGCTACGAGGTAAAAGACGTTGATGCCGAGAAGCAGCGCTGCTTGCGCAACAGCCTGAGAACATCGATCGCTCACTACGTGCCGAAGTCTGACGAGCCCACGGTGTAATAAAAATAATTTAGGTGTGGACGCTCCGCCCGTCATGACCGAGAGCGCATTCAGATAATGTTCGCCTTGAGTACATGCATCGGCCGCAGTTTCGGGGAGGGCGCTGCGACATGGGGGTTGAGGAAACTTATCGTCACCAGGTGAACGCTCGTTATTTTATTTTTTCACGTCATTTTTTTTTTACTATTGTGACGCTGGCGTAAAGCACAGATTCGCCTAGTGACAGTCCAGGAATGTCGACGTTGAACTGCACCGAAAGCCATGAACTGCGCTGTTCGGGTTTCTTTCAATCGCTAGTATTTTGTCTTAATAAACTTAATTGGTTATTTGATTGACTTATTGGTTTATTGATTGATTGAACTTGATTTGAACGAACAAAGAAAGATATAACGTAGGAGGAACATTTTTTTTATGCTCACGGGCGACACCATGCAGGATGACGGACAAAGGGCCAAATCATTGTGGACAAATTTCACGATACCGGAAACCTCAGTGTTACAAACAGAACTGGCAGCCAAGAGGCTAACATGAATCAAACAAGTCCATCTCCGGCGGTGGTCTCCGTCACAACACAGTATGGCGCAGCAAGTACTTGGATTTGTTGATTGGTTTTCGGGTGGCCTTCGGGATACGTAGTCACTTGAGAACGTGGCTGCCGTTACACTAAAACCGACGAATAATTTGTCGTCAAATTATTAACAAGACACCTTGATATATAATACGCTGCTGTAATTGATATTGAGCGACTGCAGTCTGGTTTTCTAGTCTTTCGGTGGACTGACAATTTCGTGATGAAGATGCCATTCTTCAATTAAATTCAATCTTTACCTTTTTTTATTAATGCGCTCCAATGGAGAGATTTTATTTTTATTCTCTTGCATAAGAGAATGGTCATACATGCACAAGAAAAACAGAGAGGGTACCTTGAAAATTTCCATTCAATATTTACAAGTTCAACTATCAAGACACGGAAAGGTCACGTAAGCTCTCCCATGCACTATCAAAGCTCTTATGCAAAGGTGCTGACAGAAGAAGAATCTTTTCTCATAACTCTCAGCCGCCACAAACACTTTTTTTTTATTGATGGACGTTCACTTAGAATGCAGCGACGGGGAGCGTATTGCACGCTAATGTCGCTGCGGGAGCTTCGAGTCGAGATGTGTCGGCGTGCACATTGACGTAAACCGTAGCAGAACGGTGACGGCCTCCTGTCGCCTAAACACTAATCGCAAAGCCCACGATCAAACGATTCCTCATGAGAGTGGTGACAGTCCCGACCATGGCACGAACGGCGACCTTTAAGTCCACCGGCACACAACGTTCAGTGAGAGTAAGGAAGGTGGCGTGGACTCCTGTCTGCGGTGACAGCTAGGTCTTGATGCCTGTGGCGGGCCCAAGCGTTGAGGCCAGGAGGCGACCGTCACAAAACCGCGTGGCAGTGCGCTTAAACGAGCGTCGTCGCGTAAACGCTCCACCAGGGAGAGAGTGTAATTGAGCGAGGGATAACAAGTGCGGAGATCATGACAGTGCCGCAAAAAAGAAGAGCAGGAGCAGAACAGAAGGCCACCAGTCGCAGTCAAATCACAAAGAAGCACAGCTGACGCCCCTTTACGGACGCCAGTGCGTAGAAAGCGAGAACGGCACATTTCTTCTGCTCTCGTCACCCTTGCACACCCTCTCCACGAACTCCCAGCCTTCGGGCACGTTCGTTCGCTCCTGCTTAGGATTCTGCCAGACAACGGGAGGAGCAGTCGGTGGCGAGGGTGCTCAGCCATGCGCAAGAAACCCTCTCCTCCCATTTTTACCTGAGGCTGTGTGGGTGAGAAGAACGACTCTGCCATTATACCGCAGCGTCGTTTCGTCCGGCGTTCGTCTGACTTGCAGACGTCGACGGACGTGTTTCCAGGTGAAAGCGGCGACTGATCACGGCGCGCTCAGATTCAGTTTCGCGCGCGCCCCAATCGGTTCGTCGGCGAGCTGCTTCTTTATATTTTTTCTCTCTCCTTCATTCTTTTTCATTTGTTTCACTAAGCCTACCCTTTCTCATTCCCCCGAACGGGAAGCTATAAGCATCCACCTTCGACACCACGCTGATACACTCAGATCCTCGTTGACTCTGTGATTAAGAGGAACTGTAAGCGACGCTGGGGGGAGCAGGACTTGCCGACATCCTCCGGAGATCTACTCTTCCGCGGCATCGCGCTTAAGAACTATTCGCTGATTGGACAGCGTGTGTGGTCTGCAAGGATCCAACTGTGCAGTTAATTACGCGTGCATTCGTGATCGTGCTAATTGCGAGTGGGGAGTCTTTATCTGTGCCAGTGGTGGACTTCGGTGTGCGACAAACGGACCTTGTGAGAACCTGCATACAGCGGTCTCCTCCGGCGCTCTTCTTCATCTGCGTCTTCTTCATCGAGCACTTTTTCATCGCGTTGCAGAGTTTCACGTCGCTTCGAGCAAAGGTAACGAATATTTAGGTCCACTTAGTTTCCTCTTCATCTCTAGATTGAGACATCCGCATCTGAAACCATCTATGCCTTCATTGCTTACTCACTGCCATGTGGTGATACCCTCGTGATAATGAGTGGTATTTTAGTATGGGTATTTTTTTAAATATATAATCAGCAGACCTTATTCGGTTGCTGTTGTTGTTGAACACATTCGGTTTTCTACTCTTGAAGCGTCCCTTACCAGCTAGCTTTAAAAGTCGTTTCTCGATTCCTGTCAGTTGAAATATTTGACAGCGCAGTATTTCTCAGTACGAAAACGTTCAGTGGCACGAATTTCTGCATGTGATTGACATAATGCCGTGAAACTAGGATACACTTGTGCCAGCGTGCCCATTTATTAAATAGACCCAAAAAATTAGCATGCGTTGTTAGTTATTAAGTTGAGCAACGTGCTCTAATTCATTGGGAACGTTACATCCTGTCCTGAAGACAGTCCTCATTGCTTTTCTTGTATGTTTCTAGAAGTTCATAAACTACAAGGAGTCATTCTTGCTATACGTAGAAGGTAGAAGAGGCACGGCTTCAATTACTTTAACTCTCACTAGTGAAACGAGTTATCTAACGAGTTATAGAAACAATGGATCATGCTGTACGAGTGAGGGGTTACTTGTCATAATTCATTTATCGTACAAGCGTGCTAACGTGTGCTAATTGTTTATGCGTTTCGGCGAATGTTCTTTTAGAAGGAACGCGCAAATATGCTGACGCATTTACACTGTGGGAAAAACAGATAGCTAGTAAGCTTCCGCGGAAACTGCGTCACTGCATTTGGAAGCACGCACTCGCATACCACGAAACTTTCCACATGTTAACGATTGACGCAAAGCCGGATGGGCTCCAATTTTTCCAGGCGTAAATCTTTGTTTATGATGCCGTGAAAAATATTAGCGCATCGCATGCGCATGTAGGAAATTATAACTATTCAAGTTGACTAACATCTATTCGTAGCAATCGTTCTTCATCACCTTTATCTATGTGAACGTTCCTCACTCGTCGTACGATAGGATTTGAAATGGTGCTCTGGACCTATCGATTCCGTATATTATCATACCTTTTACTTCCAGGAATCATAACAAATGCATTCCTATACTAAGCGTCGCATGCCTGGTTGAACATATTAAATTACCAGAATTGCTTATTCGGGCACTTTCCTTTTTTGGGCGTGATTATAGAGGTCCAACACGTATATTCCAGCATACGCACGTTCCCAGCGCCGAATGCTAGAGTGTTTCAGTGCTGGAGGAAAGGCAAATAAATGTTAAACTTCGCATTAGGATAAATATGAAGCAAGCACACGAAGCCCAAGTGACCCTCAGAATGTATGCATGGAAACGTACGTATCAATCAATTAATTGGGCTCTTGTAGAACAATTTCCGCAATTTTGTTTATCAGGCTTACCTTTTGTCGTAGTTTCCACACTTTCGTAGATAAGAAAACACCCAACTGGCTGGCCTGTTCGAGAAACCAGAAGATGAAAGAACAGTTTAGTGTGTCTTATCAGGATACTTAGAAAAACTGTATCAGTAGAAGAAAGTCAAATGAAGGCATGATGTGAGACGACTGTTAAAATTAATTATTGATTTATTTGACAGTTATGATGCTACGTCTTTACTGACGTACTTTGCAGGTCCAAAGCAGCGATGACTACGGTTGAAAATCATGCTTTTTTTTTCTTTTGAGCTTACCGAATTCACCTCTCGACCCATTAATTTGGCACATGCACGCTGTGGTGTAGTCAAAGGCACACGTCAAGAGAATCGACAATAATATTCTGGATATTCTGTTGAAAAGCTGTACACCTAGAATGTATTTTATTTTTATGCACCGTTTTTTGAGACAATTTCATTCACGTTAACACCACGCACACATTATCTCTAAGTGATTTTGATTTGATTGATTTGTGGGGTTTAACGTCCCAAAACCACCATATGATTATGAGAGACGCCGTTGGGGAGGGCTCCGTAAATTTAGACCACCTGGGGTTCTTTAACGTGCACTCAAATCTGAGTACACGGGCCTACAACATTTCTGCCTCCATCGGAAATGCAGCTACCACAGCCGGGATTCGATCCCGCGACCTGCGGGTCAGCAGCCGAGTACCTTAACCACTAGACCACCGTGGCGGGGGAGCCACATTATCTATAACGTCTGTGCAAAAAGTGAAGGCGTCTCATTGTAGCTGGGGGGAAGAGAAACAAGCGAAAGTGTAGAGGAACATGGAGAGTTTCGTGGCCGAAACGTGGGTGAAGCTCATACTCGACATAATCACCTGTGAGAGTGTTTCTTTTAATTTCGATTTTGTGTGTGTGTGTGTGTGTGTGTGTGTGCTTGCGTGCGTGTGTGTGTGTGTAAATAGTCTTCAGAGCGTCGCAATACAAGTTCTATAGCTAATTCACGCGTCTGAACAACAATTACATGCCTAGGATTTGCGTTTTACATCAAGCAGTGTCAAAACGGGACTTGCGGATGAGGAAAAAAGAACAGGTGAGGACACAGCACTCAATTCAACTCCGGTTTTATTTTCTTGCGCAAAGATAAATATATACCGAGCAAGCAGAAATAACAGAAAAAATGAAGATTGTGCCTTTTGTCACTCTATTTTTTATTAGTTCAGGCGTTTTTAAATAGGTGCATGTTTTCTTCTTTTCTCACCTTCTTTTGTAAAACCTATATATAGCGTTACTTTGAACAACTTTGGCCAAATCTCTTGCTGTGGCATTTTTTTTTCCTAACAGGCATAAATATCGACAGAGTCCGAACTGGCCCGACTACGGTCTCGCTAGTGCAAACGACAAACAGGCAAACGAAATACAGGCTTTCTAAACCGTGAGCTGGCAGTTTCGAAATAATACAGAACGTGACGTCAATTAAGAAGTGAACATGCTTTATGAGCGAGTTTGTTAAAACGTATAGAAAACAGTGAAGTCGAGGGTTTAACCAAAACTCACCTGCCGAGAACGACCGTAGCTGTGGGAAACATACACAAATCCACTAAAGAACACACAAAAAACTACAGAACTGACTTTGCGGTGCCCAATACGAGTACCTTGTTCACGATGAACGATTTATGCAAGCGCGTGGCGTCTTTTGATAAATGTAGAATAAAGGCCACCATGCATTCGTTTATTGTCAAGACACCCGTATTGGGCAATTCTGTTCTTTCATGTTCTTTACGATGCATATTCGTAGCGTGCTGAAACATGGCCAGAGGATGGGATGTCACGAGCGTTCGCATCAATTAGCTCACAATTATGGCTACATAATACTGGGAATTGTGTATGCTCTTCAGTCTATCGCTGCAACATTTTTAAACAGATGCTCACTACGGGATTTTTTTCCCATGGCGTCGAATAAAAAATTTACGTTCTAGGTGAGTCTCTATACTATTGCATTATAGCCACCAGCGTGAAACCAACGCATCGGCTATGATAGCACTTCACCGCGCTTACCACTAAAAAAAAAACAGTATCGTATGTTTTTCAATTACGTTCAGCCAAATAACGAGAATGTGAAATGCCAAGTTCGAAGAGTCTAATTCCTTAATGTACAAGCATTACGTCGCATTTCAATTTCCCCATCATATAACCTAGCTGTGGAACAATAATTATGGTACTATTGATCAATTGTAATCAATCGCTTTGTATAATTGGTCAATCATGAATTAAAATGTAAGCGAGTGCTCGTAAATATAAATAATTAATAACCAACTATTGGCACATAACTGAGCAAAATGTTGAAAAGTGAACAAAAAACGACGAAACGGGGGAAGCTGCTAATTTTTTATTTGCAAAATATCGACGAATTACATATGCACATGTCCGTATTGACGTAACACGGCATCAGAAGGTCACCCATATTTTTGTATGTAGAAGTAAGTGCGTGCAATATTTCTAAACAAAATCACACTATTCATGAAAGCCTTTATGGTATAACTTGAAGGAGCAACACAGACGCAGCATCATGACAACTGGTTCCTGATATTCGTTTGATATAACTCTCATAAAGCATGAGAAACATTGCGTGTGCATTCTGTAGGTGCAATAGATTAGGTTGGATTAGATGAAGCTTAACGGGAGTATATGGAACGAAGTATATTCGGTACTAGTAGGATTGTGTGTGGGTAGGATGCAGTCCACTTTTTCACAGGTGGCAATGCCCCACTTCATCAGAAGTCATGGACATTCGGTTCAGTGTAGGACCTCATCTACCTCTATATCAGAAAGCCAGTTCAGTGCACGAGAACGTATGTGTGGACACTACTGGAAAGACGGTATGCTTGCTGAAAGAAATAATAAAACAAGCTTGTGACAGGCTATATCAGCCGTATTTGAGTTTAACAAGAGCACATGAATGCTTAATGTTTGAGTTCATTTAGAAGTAGCTGAGAAATGAACTCAAACGCCCTATGAAAGTTTTAGAATTCATAATCTCATGTATAGACGTTCTTGCCTTTTTTTATATTTTCTGCTAGCTAATAAGCGCCACGACGTATAAATCAACCTCCCTACGCGAGAATTCTCCCTAATGCAAAATCTTTCGTAAATATAACAACTACTGAAAAATAGCAAACGAGCAACGTTCCCCATTATTAAAAATATTATGTGGGGTCGAACGCCCCAAAACCACCATCAGATTATGAGAGACGGCCTAGTGGAAGGCTCCCGAAATTCTGACACTCCGGGGTTCTTTAACGTGCACCCAAGTCCGAGCGTACGGGCCTACACCAGTTTCACTTCAAGGTCATTCGCTATTCCCCTAGCTCCAAGTGAGAGATTCAAGAAAAAATTGTTATATACATGTTCGCGTGTACACATTGGTCGACACACTTTTACAACAGTGCGCGTCTGTGGATGAGTGGCTGCGGCGTTCAGCTACTGAACCGAAGGTCGCGAGTTCGATACCAGCCGCGGCGGTCGTGTTTCGGTGGAAGCGGAACAGTCTAGGGGCTCGC